TATATATATATATATATATATATATATATATATATTTGATATCGAGAAGGGGTTTATGTATACGACCTACTTCGAACGTTGGATGCTATGGAGAACAACAAGATATACAGAAGAATAAACTGAACAACCAGAAAAGAGGTAGAAGTCTCGGTGAACGGTCGAGAGTTAGAAATCTTGAAAGACAGATGAACGACACACTTCGCGTAGGAGAACAGAAGGGTAAACCTCTCGGAATTCTGGCGAAAGTTTGGCATCTTGGAGAAGAAACGGAATGTGGACGCGTTGAAAGGACTTGTGGTATCGTAGTTTTAGTATCATTGTTGTGTTAAGTTTCTGTTATCCTTATTGTAAATAAATGATAATTTTTTAATTTAAAATTTGAAGGTTTTTCAATTTAATAATTCAGGAAGTCGCCATATTTCAAATCTACGGTGTACGCATTAGACTCATCAGCCCCCATAAAAAATAAATGGATATTTTTATTTTTCTCTCATGAATCTAATTAATTAAAATGAAAAAATAAGAACCATCACGAGCGTTTAGAAAATCAGTTTTTAAACCCAATTTCTTCAATTCTATAGTGTAGTGAGTATCGTATAAAATAGAAAAGTTGTAGAAAGCGGTTAAGGTGTTGAACTTCATTACTGAGTATCTATCGAATTCATTGTGAAAGTGTAACAGCATTTTAACAGGAATTTCAATATCGGGAGTTCTGGTTAAAACAGTATTGAGTTACCACACTCGACTATCTCATCTCCCTTAGCACGTGACATTCTTTTCCAGATATGAAGACTAAAAAGTGTCAATAAGAAGAAAGTTAGGAGGATTGGATTGTGTTGTGAAATGTCAGAAGTCACTGGCCTTATCAGGCGCTCACAATTGACCTGTTATCGAACACCTTGCGTTGCAAGAGCTGTGGGGTCATACCACTGAGAATCGAATCATCGTGTAATCGCCGGGTGTGGATAATCCTATTGTGCAACTTCCGGGTACAGACCTGGCAGGCCCATATATTTCTTTTACGTTCACGTTTTCCGTTTAAAGAAACACAAAGTAGTACTTGTAATATTTAATGACAGTACATTACGGCATATACTTTTTCGTAATATTTTATAAGGGGTCGCATCCTTATTTGAATAAGTCGTATCACATTGTCTAGTATTTTAACAGGTATTTTACAATACTAATACTTCAACGACTGATATTTAGTTCAACATCAGTCAGCAAAAGAAGCAATGCACTTTACAGAAACATCTACCACGTGCATTTTAGAAAGGAAAAAGGCTCTCTGTGCTCTCAGCGTACTACAACACAAAGCAAATCTCCATCCACAAGTTATATATCTCCGAAGGATGTTACAGAGCGGGTTGCAGAGGATTTGTTTCCACAAGGACCGCAGGAAGTGGATGTGGTGCGGGCAGCGGTTTGTGAAGGTCTGCCTCTTTCCATGTGGCAGCCGGTGAATTCAACTACTCTGTGTCATGCAGCTGATATGCGTAAGGCCTAGTAACTATGCACGCGGGAAGCGCTTGGGGACCGACACATCGGGGATGTTCAGAGCAATGCAGATATCGTAGAGCAAGTATTGGCCAGGTCGAGAATGAAGCATCGTACATGGTTCTAGGTTCGTGTCCAGCTGTGACGTATTTGCTAGTTACATAATGCACATAGCCCAGTGATTGCCTGTTGCTCTGATTGTTCGTGTCCGAAGTTTCATTAGATTAGTTCCCGGTGGATGCCAGAGTAGATCCTTAAACAATGGGCGTGCGCAATGCGTGTGCAATGGGCGTGCGTATGGGGAACGTGCGCAATCCTGCCTTCCCCATACTTCCAGCAAAAGGGGCGGTCGATGCACTTATTCCCATATCGTTGCTGCACAATGAAAGTGGCACAACTCAAATATTCTATTCATAATTTATAATTTATTTATTTATAAAATAATAAAAATGCGCAGTCTATTTTGTGCCAAGGAGACAAAATATTCAGAAAAATATTTTATTCATACTGGAGATGGAAGCATGCACGTACCTTTACACATTTTTGCAGCACTTCATACATCTCACGGTGCTGCAGATCTAGTGTCACGCAGTAGTTTATCGACAGCCTGGAGATAAAATATGATTGAAAGGTTCTAGAATATTTTTCACCTGTCATGAGCAACGTGCAACTGTAAGCATATGTCTGTCCTGTATTTGATGGCCTATTCACCTTCGTGTGGTTGTTTATAGTGCTTTGTATTTCAATTCCAACAATAAAATGGTGCAGCATTTATCAGCAGTAGGAACAATCTCGGTTGTTATTGTGGCTCATTGCCTTTTACGTAATTCTTATATTCGATACAGGTTTCTTCTGGACCATTCATTTTCTAATAATGAACATCTACGAAATCTCGTTAATCGTGTTTCTTCAATTGACTCAAAGTACTCAATTAAAAGGTTAGAGAAATTCGTATTTAGATATATCGGAAAGTAGTAAATAATGCGTTCTCTCCGTTGTAAGATGTCCAACACCGTTCTATGTAAAATCGACTCTGAGCAAAGCCTGGCTTGTCCTGACATTTTCTAATTTTATATTTACCTTCATCAGTACCTATAAAAATATCGCAATCATTCAAGGGGAGAATCATAATTGCTAATGAATTCTACAGAGTTTCGAACTAGGTTCCAACCGACAATTTTTAACTTAAATATTGCTTATGTCTTTAGATTATAAATTATTTTATTTGAAAAATATTGAAGGGAGCGTTTTGTATTCAATTGCTGAGGGTTCCAAAATTCCTTGGGCTGGCAGGCATTGTTCTGGAGCAAAATGTGCACTTGTCCTCCCTCCCCCCCGCGAGAGGAAATTCTGGTCATGGGAGTCCGTGGGTCAGACAGCAGGGGGATCAGAAGTGCGCAAGTCGACATTTGGAGCGTGGGACGGAGACTCGTGCAGTCGAACAGAGTGTCGTTCGACCTTTCATCCACATGCCGCCCGCAGAAGCATTCGCCGCCGTTTTTCTCCTCATACTTTTCCCCTTCAACGCCGAGGGCCCTGTGATGCAGCTGTCCTTTCGATCGTCTCTCGAAGCACTCTATCTTCGATTGCCTTCGGACAATAAAATAACGTGAAGACAAACGCAAAAATAATTTTAACAAAATATTTGAAAATATTAGCGAGCTCGAAAACAAGCTATGAAGCTGCTTCAAATATTCAACTTCGTAAACTAGTCTCTTTGTGTAGTTTCACTTCGGTTTCGTCTTTATACCAACGGTTTTTAGATTAGAATGTGACAAACAAATTGTTTCGGAAAAGCAGGAGAAATTGTTACGTAACAATAAATAATAACGATAGTGTGATTGTAGAGTAAAATTATAATATTGTGTCACCGGTTTTGCGTAAGAGAGACTAAGTTTCATACAGAATGTTCTTATGCCACAATAGAACGACTTCTTCACGGTTCTGTGCGACTGATGTTATAAGATCTATTTTTAAATGGATTTCTTGGCAAGAATTTTATTTGTTTCAATTAAATTAATACATTGGGGGAGAGGGGAATTTGATCACATACGAAGAAATAAGATGGTACTTGATGGTTATTTCTACTTTATCCAATTAATGCTTTTTTTATTTATCTGACCCGTGCATAACAATATAAATCTTTATTTTTGCGGCGATCTATATATCACAGAAATTAATATTATTTTGAAAATCAATGTTTTTATAATAATTAAAAACGATGGCGCTTTGCGTACATGACAGCTGTATAATATTTTCCAAAGAAATTTGCAAACAGAATGTCAGTCGGAGCTCAAAATATTTCTAAGTATATGTTTAAGAACGGTATTTAATTACGCTTAAGAACGGTAGATAAATGTTGATCTAATCTGTCTATATGAACAAAAATCTGTATGAATCTGATATGAAAAAAATCGAAAAGTAAAAGACTACTAAGCAGAAAATAGATGACAGACAACTTCTGAAAGTCTGCAAAATATCTTCAATGTAGTGTTCATCAAACCACTTACCTTACATTGCAAGAAATTCTTGCCCGGCCAGCATTACACGTATGACAGTGTCCCAATCGTGAAGCTGCAAGTGGCTGTCAAACAGTGGCAGTAATCCTAGGCGGCAAACTTCGACTCAGGGAAACAAATTTCGATTCCACGGTTTAACAGATGCCTCAATTGTGGTGGTGATTATGGGAAACATACTGCAACATGTGCTGTATTTATACTCGTACTTAGATTTTCTGTGAAATTGTGTTATTTTTTTTATGAAGACTTAATTTCTGGATGTGCCTCCAAGGCACATCGGTTTTGCAGTGATAAAGCATTCCGTGTGGTGCGATATGGTCGATCTGAAAAATAGCTTTTCATTTTGTTGCATTTGCAATATTTTTACCAAATTCCCTTACCGCTGGCTTCTTGAGCATTGTGATGGCAAGCGTACAAGCACCCTGCGTATGGTGCTTGACCAAGCATATGGTCGATATGAAACGTAGCTCTAAATTATGTTTCACCTCTAATATTTTAGAGAATCTCCTTACTGATGGTGGCTTGTGTTTGTGTTGTCGTCTGTGTACCGATGGTGTCTTGTGTTTGTGTTGTCATCTGTGTACATATGGTGTCTTGTGTTGGCGTCTTGTGCTTGTCGCGTACATACACCCCGAGTGGCGCGTTGTGGACGATCTGAAAAACAGCCTACATTTTGTTGAACACGAAATATATTTAGAAAACCACATTTCTGATGGCGTGCTTGTGTTTGAAATACAACTTTAAATTTCGTTGTAGGTGTAATATGTTTAGCGAGTGGGCTGATGGGCGGCGTGTTGTGCTTGTGTGCCGCAGGCGTACAAGCACCCCGAGTGGCGCGGCCCGTGCCTGGGCCCGCGCCCGTCCGAGGAGCACCGGCGCGAGTGGACTGAGGAGCAGCTGCGCGCCGGGGAGGCCATCATCGGCCTGCAGGCCGGCCAGAACCGCGGCGCCACCCAGTCGGGCCAGAACTTCGGCGCCTCCCGCAAGATCCTGCTGGGCAAATGAACCTCTCGCCCCGACGCTCGCCGCCCGCCGCCCCCGCCCTCGCTCTCGCCCTCTTCTCTCGCACGCTCCACGCTCCCCGCCCCACGCTCCTCGCTCCTCGCACCGGACTCCTCGGGTAGACGAGGTGCGACTGCAACACTCATCGACCAGCGCTGTCGTCGCGGAAAATGGCGAAGAGTTGAAACACCTTTTTTTCTCGTATCGAAAGTTTTTATGAACCACTTGTGAAATGAAAAAAACACCCGTTTGATTTATTACTCCGGTTTAATATTGGATACGTATCAAGCGGTTTAGTTTTAAAAAATGAAATATACCTCTAATTTTAATGCGATTTCCAAACCATTCATTTTTGCAGACGTAGCATTTTTCCGTGACTGCGTTTCGGACTCCTTGTCTACGACTGAGACGGTTCACTCTGCTGTTCTTCCTGCCACTCCTCGCTGCTCCGAAGCGGAGACTGCCGCTTGTTGGAAAACTTTTAGGTTATGTAAGATATTCTCAGAGCTTTTTTATGCAGCCATTTTCTTCTTACTCTGCATTACCCCCTAAATGTTAGATAATCAATACAATAAAGCAAATATTCCTTATTTAAATGTCCTTTGCTAATGAAGGTGAGTAATGAAATAATACGTTCGTCTTTAATCATTCCATCTAACGTTATCTACTGTGTGACTACATTTCTATATCCAACTAAGACATTCGCAATTTATGAATAGGAAAGAATATTCTTAAAAAAGACGAACTTAAATGCGGTAATATAGGATTTTACTGATTCACATCAAGAGGAAAAAATCTTCATATATCAGACAGGTTTATTTCTGATGCTTTTATAAGAAGAAAATACGAAGACTGCAAAATAAACTTGTTAATGTAGTCAAGCGTTACATTCTATTATGAGTCTTTCTGCAGATTAGAAGTAAAACAATCAATCCATTCACCATTTTCTGCGTGATTTGCTTTGCTTGCTTGCGACTCCTAGCAGTCGCATTTGAATGGCGGGCGCACATAAATATTTTCATTTCGACTCATTTTTAAAATATACTATGCTGTAGTACAATATCATATCAAAATATTTTTTTGTTAGAAACTGCAATTTTCTAAGCTGTACATGGATGTAGGTGACATTTGCAAACCCGTTTAATTTTCATTTAAGTCCATTTCTATTTATTAAAAGTAAAAAATAATAATTCGAATAACAATTCATCGAACTACTGAAAAAGTTAAGAATTGTAATTTTTTTCGCACTATGAAATTTATCTTACTTGTATAATATTGCAAATGGTGCCTAGCGGATCTCTTCAGGATTAATAGAATTTAACATATTTTTGTAAACTTGTTTGTAGATGTTTATTATTAATTTGCTTCAGTAAAATATTAATTTATTTTGTGTATATTGAAACAAAGAAAGTTCTTTCTCTGAAACATTGTTTTATTACCACCTGAACAATTTTTCTTCCCAAACAACATTTACAGAAAATACCAATATATTCCTTTCCATTACTTTACAGTCGTGAAATGATTTGTCTGACGACTGAACAACGACCTCATCAAGTATCAATGAAGAGTTTTTAAAAGCAGAAGTATATTTCAATGCTTATGAAGATATTTTAATTAAATAATTTTATTACGGCGACATAATTATTTTTATTTTTGTTCACTTGCTTAGCTTCATCGTATGATTCATGGGATGAACCTTAATTTCAGTTGGGCAGCTATCTGAATAACTTATTTCACTTTAGATTTAGTTGGGAAACTGTGTTTACAAGAGTGTATTGTAAGTCTCACTCATCCAACTTTACCTACACTACAACAAGTAACACTGCTACTGACACTTCATTGTCACGCATTTTCCCACTTATTTGAGCAATGGCCAGGTTATAAGGCAGAGAACGACAGCGACTAATTGGTAGTTGCATATGACGGGAAACTTGCTGGAAGAAAAATATTGGAAAATGCAGGGTATATCTGGATGATTTATTGGCCAAGGTTGATATGTCACTAGTCGGCACTGTGAAAAGTCCTCCGCGGCCAATGCCTTCGGGACGACACCGGATAGTGGGCCAATGTTTCGACCCTCTCGTCTTCTGTGAACCATGCGAGCATGTGATCGAAACGCGGCTTTTGTAAGTGCGTCGCCATAAGTCACAATCGGTCATGCTACATGAAGCCAGGTTGACGCCCTGAAACCCAAGATAGCGGCGCCTATCAACGCAACATTATTGGTTAAACAGAATGCTCATTGCCTACTTATTAGTCTCTCGGAAACTGAAGTTACCCTAAAGTTCACAAGGTGTTGCATTATGCATGGAACTTTGTTATGAATGGGGAAAATCCTAAGGCGTCATTTTTTCCTCATTGACGGGTCTTTAAACACGGGATGACTTATGAAAATTCTTAAAGTAAGATAACTGTCTTTTTTATTTTTATCTCTTAGACATATCAGGTGTCGCTAAAACAATTTTTTACGTTACACTACGACTAACTCAGTTGACCCATTAGGGTAATGTTCTCATTTATTGAGTTTATTCATTTATTGAATTCAGATGTGGGGGAATGTAGTGATGTCAGAATATATTATATCCAGAAACGCTACATACACATCCACCACCAAAACCATGAGGAGTGATCGTGGAAGTAACTAATTCGATCATTCTTCCCGGGAATTTCCCCCCTCCTCCTACCACTAGTGCCATCCTTAGAAGCAGGAAATCCTCCATCCACAAATGAACCATCACTCGGCATGATGCAGGAAAATCGCATTCAGGAAGCACTGACGGCCCTGTGGTACTATTTTGCTAATATACAAGAGATTAGGCAAAATAGCGTGTCATGCCTTATTTTCGACATAAAAAGTCATTATTACTGTTATTGTTATCATAATTATTGTTGTAGTTAAAATTCCGAATGTCAAAACGGAGCCCTTTCTGAGTTGTAGTGTCATCAAAAAAGAGGGACAAAGAGAAAAATACAGAGATGAAAATCAGACAATGAGACAATCAGATATTGATATTCAGAGACAGAGAGGCGCACACCCACATGGTCAGATGGTGATGCAGACAGACAGAGAGGAGAGAGAGAGAGAGAGAGGGAGAGACAGACAGACAGACAGACAGACAGACAGACAGAGAGAGAGACAGAGAGAGAGACAGAGACAGAGACAGAGACAGACAGACAGAGGCCGACAATCAGATAGACAGAAAGGCAGAGCCAGCGAGGCAGAGGGGTAATCGTCAGAGAAGCAGAGGTGAAGCAGAGGCAGAGCCAGAGGCCGGAAGTCAGAGAGTTCCAAAGGCAAAGAGACGGACAGTCGGAGACGCAGATGTAAACAGACTGAGAGGCAGTCAGGCTGATAATGTAGGTGTAGAGATGAAATAGAGGAGAGGAGAGAGAGAGAGAGAGGGAAAGAGCGAGAGGAGTGAGAGGGAAAGAGGGAGATGAAAAGAGAAAGAGAGAGGGAAAAGAGATAGAGAGAGGGAAGCAGAGAGGTCGACCCAGAATCATCCATAAAATATTTGCTTGGAGCCTTTACTTTCATATCGAAAATGATTTTGAACGCAAGGAACGGTAGAACATTTCGCGCCCATTCGGCAGGGCGTTGCCGGTCCCCTCCGCCGCCTCCGCCGACGTGCCTGGCGCGAGAGAACATTGGCGCATCTGCCGCTGCAAATTGCTGCCCGCGGGGCCAGGCGGGGCGGCGGGTGCCCTTCGTTCTCCCAATTGAGCGAGAGGGGGGAGGACGGGGACCGCGGGGGCCGGCGAAGACCACCAGTCGCTCCTGCGGGCGGAGCACTCCACTCTTCACCCTGCTGCTCATCTCCAGCCTTGGAAGAAGAAGCTCCACTCCAGCAACACTCCAGGAGGATGGCATTTCAATCCACCTACGGAATTGGCATTCGTATGTCCCAGTTCTGGAAATTGAATATCTCCTCATGGAAGCCTTAACGAGTTCCGTTCCCGTTTTGTGCGGCTTTAACTCACATCAACTGCTGCCAATTTTCAAAGCCCCACTCCATCTCTCTCCTCTCTCTCTCTCTCATCCTCTTTCTCACCTCCTACCTTCTCCCTGGAACGCTGCCCAAATACACAGTTGATGAAACCGTGAGCATGCGGCTGTCAGTGGCTAGTTTGCGTAATTTACACGTGTTTAGACGTGAAGGTTAATGGAGTAAACGCATTCCTTTTACATAACAATCAGAGATGGAAATTCCATTAAGCTTTATTTCCGTTAACTCCCTGTCATTGGCTGCTCCACCACAAGTTGCGAGATCAATTTTGAAGCTGTGTTCACCGTGAACTCCTGGGTTCGAGCAAAGGCGCGACGATGAGTGTGGATCTTTGACATCAGCTTCTTTCTTCTTCTTCTTCTTCTTCTTCTTCTTCTTATTATTATTATTATTATTATTATTATTATTATTATTATTACGTGAATGATAATGATCGTTCGCCTTCGTCTCTGTCACATGATTGTTGGAAACACAAATAATAAAACATAACCAAACAATTTCGTAGGCAATGGCATAATTTAATGTCTATGGAAGAAACTCAATTCATCCTGTACCTGTAGATTTCTAATTTTAATTTCTAAGAGTAAAACGTAACGCAATAGAGCGTCTAAAAATATTTCGTTTTATAGATTTCAGCATAAAGCCTTCCGGCAGCATAAAGCTTTATTTTCAGGTCCTAGAACACTTCGTTTCCGAGTTATGCTCGGTCATAGTCGCAGCGTGATGAGTGTTGCGGGTTGCATGAACACCTGATTACTAAAAATGCGGATCTGTGAACCTCTTAGTTTTCGTCTTAAATCTCTTTGTTGCAGAGCTGGACACTTACGGGGTTTTGTGTCCACGCAGTGGCGATCATCAAAAGACGAAAATGGAATTTCCAGAATTCAAAACACCCGTATGAAATAAAATGAAAACAATTATTGAAAATTAATTAAGACTAAATTTAAAGGAAGTCTGTATTCAAACACCACTTTTATAATTTTATGCCTAGTGACCGTGTTAGGTAAGTTCACCTCCAGGGTACATAGTTCTGGCTTTGATTTCCGTTGCACACTCGAGTTTTTGTATTCATTCTGTTTGGAGACATTTGCCGCTAAAAAAGTTCATACAAAACAAAAACGAACTAGGTTTCGAAAATTGGTAATCGCACTCTAACACTTTGCAACAAGTACTATTGTTTGTATACGTTTTACACTAATTCAATTCAAAATCTTAATTGTTATTGGATCTACTGGTGGTGATGATAACGAAGTAAAATTATATTATAACGAAAAATTATCTACCCTGGTATATATTGCAATAATAAAAGACCTTCCAGACACACTCGTATACACAACGACGCTCGCAGAATAACTACCGATTCTGCCGGAGAGGTCATTGCAAACACACCGTTTGCAGAAGAGGGAGAGAATGGGGGGGGGGTTCTTCCAAACGGCCAACTTAACATAAAGGACCCATGAAATGTACATTTCAAATCAACAAATATAACATAAAATGAAAATAAATTCCCCAAACATCATAAATAAGGTATTAAAAAGGTCAAGAACTGACTGCGCTTGTGTACTATCAATAACACGCGAAATTCCAAAAATCAAGTTGCAGCAAGTTTCAGACGAAGGCAGACATTCGGCATTCCCCTCGGACGCCGGTCTGCGGCCAGCCCGTGCGGTAAGCCTGTCGCTCGTTGAGGTGCAAACTCAACGAGGGCCTTACGCTGAAACCTAGCAATGCGCGGCCAAAGAGCAAACGTAGTAAAAGAGCTAAAGGGCGTGACGTGGTGCACTGCCTGGGAGCGCACGAGACGCCGGTGGGGAGAGCTCGACGGGAACGCTTTGATTTCACGAAATTGTCGCAATATCTTGATTATTGAGTGCTATTAAATGGAAAGTTTATTTTTCCTTAACATATTATAAGATATTTGAAAATTTGGGGGTTATGCAACCGTGCGACGGTGGGTTTTCGTCATTAGCTTGTCAGCTAAGTGGAATTCAGTCGCTGTCTGGAGGAGAATTCTACTCTGCTCGGTAGTTTACCGCGGTTTCTCCGATGAACATCTGACGAATGACGCAGCAGTACCTTTACAGACGGACCACAGTCCGCGCTTGATCTTTCCTTCCTCTTCCTTGTTCTATCCTTACCCCTTATGTACACTTTCATGCACTTCGCCGTCGGGAGACCGGGCGAGAGTTAGAGCTTGTCCTAGCTGGGGCGGTATCCTGCTGGTGGGGGATACCTCGTTGCGGAAAACCCCGGCAATCGCCTGCTATTGATCGAAGAAACCACGGGAGAATCCCGATCAAAGCCGGCCGCCAAAATTCTTCTCCGGACGGCGACAGAACTCGACCTAGTTATCTGGCTATCGAAATCTATCTATCTATCTATCTATCTATCTATCTATTATCTATCTCCTCTATTATGCTTCTATCTATCTTCATCTCATCTATCTATCTATCTTATCTATCTCTATCTATTATCTATCTATCTTCTTTTTTTACGAGGGAACTGTGGAATCTTCAAAAAGAGACGAAGAGGAAGCCCCTCCTCAAACGTGTGAGATTTTACACCACTAATAACCACAATCCCTGTGTGTTCTGGCGTTCCATCTGGAACGCAGTTATAGCATTATTCAGATGGTGCCAGATGTAATTACTTCGAGGTGCTATTCAGGTTCAGCTATGACTGTTTCTTTCGTAATTTTTCCTTCTTCTTGAGAATGGCGGGATAGTATTTTCTCTAATGCTGTCCACTTCTCTTGTTACAGATCATTAGTGTAACCAAATGTTTTTCTGGTGAGACATTACACCCGACCTCCCATATCATGCGATGCCTTAGCGTGTCCCATCTCGGGCAATGGGACAGCGTATGATCGACGTCGTCCACTTCATGGCTGCAGTAGAAGCATACCTCGTCTTCTGTCTTTCTGAATCATTGAAGGTATGCCTTCAAACATCCATGCTCTGTGAATGCCTGAGTTAAGTGGTATGTCACGGACCCGTGTTTGCGGCTTATCCATTTGGATACATTTGGGATGAGCCTATGAGTCCATCTGCCGGTCTCCTCTCTGTCCCAGCGTTTCTGCCAGCGGTGCATCACGTTTTCTTTAGCTCTTTTAATTGTGATATCCTTGTCTTGGTGCGTCTTGCGCTATCCGTATAAATCTATCTATCTATCTATCGAAAATCCTGCAACTGTCGGGACTCGAACCCCTGGACCTCCCCGTCAGAGGCACTGCAATGACATCAGTTTGGATTTTCAGATTGATTTCCAGAATGTGGGGGAAGTTGTGGGGAGCTAGTCGTCGGTAGATCGGGGCCAGACCTCACCATCTAGTGGTGGACAATCACCGCCACCTTCCGAGAGAAATAACATGCACCATACTTACGAGTCTCATGATTTTAGCAGTTGACTCGCTCGGAATCACTAACAAACAATCATCATCACCAGGAGATAGACCCTGAACTCGTAGGGGTAGGGGTATCTGTCGATGTGGCGGAAGTAGCAGGGAGCGCAGGGAAATTACTCGGCGTTAAGTCCTTCTCTCAATTTGTTAAGTTTATCACCGGAGAGAACTCTCTTCAGGGTAGCGCCCGTCTTCACACTCCACTCGGCGAAAGGGAATAATTCCATATTTGTTCCTCTTTCTCGCAAACACCTCCTGCAGGCGACCTCTGTTCGCAACGGCGATAGCAGCGGCCTAAACAACCACCGGGATGTGGTCCTAGCGACCATGAGGTCAGGACGCCCTCCCTGGGCAACGACCTGAATTTCGTCCAGGACGCCCCACCCCCTCCCCCTCCTCTGCGACGAAACCTCTTTGACGTGCTCGAGTCCTCGATTGTGACGCAGCTGCCACAGTCGCGAGTGAGTTATCGCCAATGAACAACTCAGGAAGGTAATATCAAGGATGATTAATGTTCGTTTTTAGCACGAAGGAACGGTTACGACATTCTTCACGAACAATATACACGAAGACGTTATCCTACAGTCATGACTCAACTCAAAGTATCTTCATCGAAATAAAATATTAAAATTAAAAGCTGAGTATCCTTACGCATCATCTTAACAAGCCTCATAATTCACGTCTTCTATTTTCGCTTTCACATTTTGGATTGCGTTTGTTTTGGGGTAACCTTTAAGTATGTCCCAGGTTCATTTATATAATAACCAGACCGGATTTCGTATTTTTTAATTTCTTATATGACTGCAACATTTCCATTGCACTTGAAAAATAAATACAAAATATGAAAGAAAAGTGTGGTTTTCATTAAAGTACACTTTAAAGTGAAAAATAAACTACAATCATTAAAAAAATAGTTTAATCCAAAGGCAAATGAAAATCCACATAAAATTTAAATGTACCCTAAATATTGATCCAAGATTTCGTAAAGGAAATGCAGCATTACAAAACGTTCCCTATAGAAATATAATTTGGTGGTTTGAAGGGAATGACGCATCCTAAACAGGCTTAAGTTTTAAGCCTGTAGTAGGTAAAACGGGACATTTTTTAATTAACACAGTGCGACGAAATGCAAGTAATCTATCTGCGATCGAATGTAAATAAAATGTTAAACTTTTAATTGTAAAATATTTTTTTTTAATTTACAAAAATTAGTCAATAGTTAGCTGATCGGAAGTTACTTTAGGTCAAGCAAGTTTCGCCTGCAGATTAGTGATGCGACATCTATGTCGATGTCTTGAAAATATCGATGATTTTATCAAATCATCAACTTAATATGCATCGATTTTTTAATTATCGATGATGTTCAATTTTTTTACATAGTTGTTATCTTGGTGGAAAGATATCTCTTTCCACCATAGTTATTTTATTTTTTGAGCTAATGGTGAGGTATCGATAAATTGTACCAAATTCTTCAGACCAAAATGACCAAGGGGAAAAAATAATGAAAATAGAAGTATCGTCAATAAATGAAGACTATATTGTTTTTGAATTAGTCATTCAGATAATAAAACTTTTGGTCACTCTCGATTTTGTTTTGTCAGTTAAAGATCAATATAAAATTAATACACGCCTCCACCGTCAAATTGCCGCCCCCTCCCGTGAATATTAAAGCAAGAAAAAGTTTTAAAACATATATGTTAAATACATCGATGGTTTTTGGGCGATGTTTCATTAACATCGATATTTCAATTTTGAACATTGGTGTTTAGAAACATTGATGTTTTGTCAACGATGTCGCATCTATCTCTATTACACATGCACTACGCACACAGATGCAGATACACTGTCGCAACCCTACTACAGAGCGATCCAGCCGAACATGGGGGGTGTGGGCATCGCAGAATTTTGTTAAATAATAAATGTATTTGTTATTATATTGAATATTATTTATAGTGTAGTAACAGTAATACAGTGCAGATATGATATACACTATATTATTGTTTAAATAATATGGTGTAATGACATAATTATATAAATAAAAAATATTCAAATCAATTTTGTCAAATAAAGAAAGGTAAAGGAAAACTCTTGACCTTTTTTTGGGGGGGGGGGGCGAGAGCCTGCCCCCTTCATCCGTCAGTGGAAGCGATATGGAAAATGTCTATAGTAATTAAAGATTTTCTCGCATAAGTAGTAGTAATTTGTATATTTGAAAAAGATAACGTGGATTGAAATGTTCATTTCCAGCCTTTCTACAATGTCTAATGCGAATTGTGTACATGAACCACTAAACATTTCATCAGTTCATTGCTATTTTTTACGTACATACGAAGGAATGTAACAAAAACTAGTACTTTCATACATGGTAGAGCAAATAAAAAATTAAGGTCAGTAACCAAGGAATAGATATCTAAATTGTGAATTTTGCAAAGTCGCTTAGGGGAAAAAATTTAGACGGATCAGTGTAGACAAAAAACTTAGGAAAATAGTGTGATCTATTCATTTCTTTCAATAAAAAAAATCAGGTAGTTTGTTAAAAATAAAATCGTAATTAAGAAGGCTACAATTACGTACAATTTTTAATGAGAGATTCAATATCAAATTGCTCTTTTCCTACAGTAGTCATAATTCAAGATTAATTCAGTGCGTAGGGACTGTCACTGTTCTCTACTGCTCTCAATGGAGTAAAAGGCAGGCCAGAGACCTTGAAGTAATTCTGATACAATGAAGACTAGAACGGGTTTCGTCTTTCCATTAACGACTTCATTCATACCAACCACAAAAGAGCGAACAATTCCGACCGTAAATGTAAACTAATGAACATTCCCGGGCTTCACTTATGATTGTGTAGGAAGATAGCCGTCATAAGAACGAGGACATAGACATGCTTACTTTATGCTGAATAGTCTTCTAAATGTAAGAGGCAATGAGAACAACGCAACATGTGTTACGACTTCCTGTTAATTGTTGGCGACCTTCACTTCACTCTTTTACCGTGCTTCAGTTGGCTTTATTTTGTTCATGTGTTGGTAGTCATGAGCGTTGTTGAATATAGAATTGAGAAGGAAGGTTGGCGTTCAAAAGTGCTCGAATGTAGTTGCGTATAATAAGCAACTTTATAATTGGGTTTCTGTGGTATGATGTTTATCATTATTTTGTTTTTGTATATGTGTACATTGATGTGCAGTTTTTTGTTCTGTGAATGATAATCTCCGATATGGCGTGTGAGATAACCCTAACCGAGCCGAACCGAGTGATGTGTGACAGTAGTGATACTGAAGATGAAAAAATATTTACATCTATGTCCGAATTAAGTGAAAGCATTATTTGTGATTACTTTTGTGCGTTGCTTTAACATTTGTAGTTGGTATATAATAATCTTCTTTAGTGACAAAGTTTTTCAGTTCTCGTAGAATTTTATTGAAAATTTTCGAATTTTTGTGGATATTTTTGTCAAAACGTTTTTAAGGCACAGGAAAAGTAATTTTGAATATTGTATGTAAATTTTTTGCCGGTCTTATGGAATTGAACTTGTAATTAGTAAAAAATCAGCTGTACTGATTGGAGTGTCATTTATGTCAGTGACATTTCGTTGTCATTTGAATCAGACATGCCCACGCAGTGAGGATTAGTGATTGCTTGCTGAATGTGTGTGCTTTTTGTGAGTGTTTATGAGATTTGATTTTCTCTATCTGCAGTGAAAAACTATTGCTATAATTTATTGAATGTGTTCAGTTTGTTGCATGTACCACAAATTGCATGTAATTTTTGTCTATCGTAAATTGTATCTTTTATTTACTTTTTTGCAACTTTCATTTTCAGAACAGAGTATTTTCAGAATTTTCTTGACATGTAGTTGCCACGTACAATACAAGCATCACCATTTAATGTACATCACTGTTCAATATTAGTTGTTCATGATGTGTAATAAATACATAAGTTAACTACACATGATGCCCATCAATCCTAGTGACATGGATGCACCAGGTTAGAAAAAGTAGTTTTGTGTTGTTGCCTTAAGCAGAGCCAGAATTGGATACCTTGGTGTCAGAAACTTGTCTAGTGTTCTAAAATATTCAAATTTTCAAAAACATTCTCTGATTTTGATAGTCTTAAGTTCTTCTTTCATATTTTTTCTCAAAATGTTAGAGAATGTGATAATGAGACTTTTTGTAGTTTGAAGAAAACTTAGAATTTGAATTATGGCAGCTACTGTTGTACATGCAACTGGGACTGATACTCTTGTCTTCCTATCCTTTTCTCGGCTCTGATTATATTTTGTATTATTTAATTCAATAAAAGCCCACTAATTTGGACCTGTACTGAGAAGTCGCTCATTAAATTGTGAACATTATTTTAGAGAACAACTAGCCATTTGTCACTTAATATTCCTAAATTTGTTTTATCTTGTAATTTTCTGTTTTGTCCAAATTAGGTTGGTTTTCTGTAAAAGCATGAACATTTCCTTGCATGGTATTCTTAATTTTTTTATTCTATATATATTTAAAAATGCAAGTTCATATTTGTTTTGGAATGTATGTTGAAATCAAAAGTGAAAAAATTGTTTTGCAATTACAAGAGTGGAATAATATTTTTATGTTTTCTTTAGTTGATCTTTATGTTACCTGAAAAACTTCTTTCCTTTCATTTTTGCCTAATTTTAAACTTCTTTTCTTTGATTAAAATGCTTGATGCTTATTGCTTTATTTTTGAGTGTAAGTTGATAGAACGCAAGACATTGATCTCTGAACAATTTGATGTTAATTTTTTTAATGTGCCAAAAATTAAATTTTCTTGTAGCTGAATGCCGCAGTGTGTGTGAAAGCGTGGGTAGTCACAGTGACACATCTGGTCATACTACAGTAACATCACATGTCCACGGACAACGTCCCCACATGGATGTTGTGTGTGTTATTGACTTGCATCAGGCTGACCATCTGTCCCATAGGAAGCGGGCTTTAGAAGAAGTTCGGCAAGCATGTGCTCTTGTCAGTGCAAACATGATTCCAATTCAGGTTAGTTACTTTTTCTATATATTTCCTACTTCATTGAAATATTGTGCATAATTTCATGTACTAAAAATCGTTTCTTTTTCAGTTTGAGAAATTGGACTTTGGTGAAGGATCTGTGTTGGAATCCTTTTACAGTGCTGATGTTGCAGTGGTTGATATGTCCATTCAGATTCAAAAAAATGCTTTATTTTATCATTTGGGAGTCAGAGAAAGTTTTGGAATGAAAGAAAATATTTTGCTCTACAATGATTGTGATTCAGAGGCAGCCTTACGTCTTAAGGTAAATTTTAAATCAATGTAGCAAAAAATTCATTAAATAGCTATTATTTTTTAAATTTATGAATGTTTTGTTATATTTTATTTTTGTCATCAAATAGTGACAAAAATTGTTAAATGTTATAATTGTAAAGTGACCAACAAAATGCAATAATTTTCATCAATTATTTCTGTTTTTTTTTAAATTAGAAGTCATTAAAAACTATTAACATTTTATTGGAAGTGTTTTTGAGAAATTATTTATTGATTAAATTCATCAAAAGTTTACCGCTGTAAATTTAAATTATTATTGGAATGATTTAAGTTTTTATTGATGAATCAATGTTCTTCTTGATTTGTTCTCACTGTGCCACATTCTTTCAAAGATGTCGTCTGGTAGCTATACGTTTGTTTCCTACCGTCTTCTGGAGTGCGGAACTTGCGTAATAACAAACCCTGCAGCAGCTACTGTAAAAGGTGAAGAGGCAACTATAGATCCCAAACAGCATCTAACAATTCGGCTGAAGAAACTTTTGCAGGATGTGGAAGTACAATCCAAGTAAGTTGTTAAATTAATTCAAATTGCCTTATATTATGATCATTATCTTAATGTTTGATTTTGGTGGGTAGTTGTAGAGTGTTTCAACTCTATGGTCATTAGCACACAGGGCTGGAAGGGAATGGAAAGATGAGGTAGAGTTTAAACACATTAAGGAAGTCTCTGTCCCCTTGTTGGGATAAAATGTGTGTTCTCTCAATTACTGATATGTTCATCATTGTATGTTTTTTATTGTCCTCAAATCATTAAAAATCATTGAAATTAATTCTTCTTCCTATGACATCTCTACGGACCATTAAGAACCACTGCCTCTCGGACAATTTTCCTCCAGTCTGCTCTGTTCTCCACTCTTTTTCTCCTTTTTCATACACAGGTTTCTCTTTGATCCTCCTCAACCTGTTTTTTCTTTAAATATCTGTTTGCCTCTTCAGTCAGACTTCAGCCCCTTTTCTTAGTATGGCTAACCATCTTAATCTACAGTTTTGTATAACTATTAGAATATTGGATGCATTATAAAGCGCTACATCCATATTATTTCTGATTTTCCACTCTTCACCCTCCTCTTTAGTGAGATGGGAAAAAATCATCCACAAAAATCACAGTTATGATATTTCTTATAACACCCCCAAAAAATTAACTTTCGGGGAACACTTTTCCCATTGTCAGTGGGTCTTGCTCAAGCAATGTGATAATAAGAAATAAATAAACTGGGAATGGGTAGGAATTTGTAAATATCCTTAATATAAATAACTATAATAAATATTTATAAATCCTTTCTAGCTAAAATGATACTCAAAGCGTAGGTATGAGGGGGATCAGGATACACTATGCTGTATCAACGCATTCTTTAAATAGAGATAAAAGAAGAGATTTTCTGAGTTTTTCAGAATGTACAAAATTCTTGACATGTAGTATAATTTTTGGAAGTATTTGCTCGTGATGTAAAATAAATAAAAATGAGAGGTGGTGAAATTCTCTCCATAGAGGTAATGCTTTTATATTCTGGGACAAATACCGCATTTAGTTCATTGTTCACATGAATAAATGTTGAAAAATGTACCTCATTAAGGTTTTATTATAGTGAATCCTCCTCAAACAATTTAAAATTGATACTAGAGTGATAGTTTTTGTTTGTTTTGGGTATATTTCAGAAGGAAAGTAAAAGATCAGAGCAGTTGAGTCAAAAGTTTGCAATTTTGTTTTTGTTTGGCTTATTTTGAAAATATAATTTTGATATATTTGTACCAAATTGTTTTTCTTCAGAGCACATATGAAAGAGAAATTTTTGGCTGATTTGCGGAAGGCTCGTGAAACATGCTCCGGAAAAGAACTGTCAAAAGTATTGCACAACATGAGAAAACGATTGGATGATCCAAATGTTCTCTCTGGAGAAGTTGTGTACAACATGCTGATATCTTTTAGAGAAATTCAAGACTATGATGCAATGGTTCAGTTGGTGGATGACCTGAGAACTATTCCTAATAAATATAAGTACATTAATACTGCAGCTATTGGATACCTTTATGCATTTGCTTTAAACAGGCAAGTTCCTTTTTTTCAAATTGGGTTTATGAAACACATCTTATGTTTGTAAAATTTTTTACAGAAAGTTAATTTTGATACTTCTTCAATTAGGCGAAACAAGACAGGAGATCGTGAGACTGCATTAAGTGTTATAGAAAAGGCTTTAGAAAAGAAAGAAAATCATGTACCTGACATAGTGTGTCTTTGTGGCCGCATTTATAAAGATAAGTTTGTTGAATCTCGTCATCAAGACAAAGATAGTCTGAAAAGTGCCATTTTCTGGTATCGTAAAGGATTTGAAGTACAACCAAATGAATATGCCGGCATTAATTTGGCAACATTATTGGTCATAGCTGGCAATGAATTTTCAAAATCGGAAGAACTGCAGCATATAGGTTAGTTTTCAGTTCTATTTCGAGAACTTCTTGCAGCCCATTCTTTTTTCTTAAGTAACACAATTTATGTCACAGGAATGGTGTTAAACAATTTGATTGGCAAGAAGGGAAGCCTGTCTTCTCTGCAAGAGTATTGGGATGTTGCTACATTTTTTGAAATTAGTGTGCTTGCTGAAGATTATGCAAAAGCTATACAAGCTGCTGATTGCATGTTTAAACTGAAACCTCCCAATTGGTGAGTGCTTAGTCATTTTATTCTTTTTGATATTGTAATATCCATATACTTTTTTAATCCTTCCTCTTCGTAGGTATCTAAAATCCACGATAGGCAATATTGCTTTAATTGATCGTTTCCGAAAGAAAAACGAAGATTCAGAACCTTCCCCTGAA